TATTCCAAAATCTATCCATACCTACCAAACAGAACTGCTCACTTGACCCTGATTATTTACTCCTTTGTGAAGTTCATTGCTCATCACAACCCATAGAAATTCTGGAACTGGAGTGTTTTTTTTTCCTCAAAATCTACACAATGGTTGGCAAGACCAATTGTTTATTCAGAAAGCAGCCAACAGGATGCTACAGGCCTTTCAGTGAACCGCCCTGCCCCTGAAGATTTGGCAAAATCCTGCCGACCAGGGAAAGCTCTAAACAGGCAAGAGCGGGTTCCCTCACTTCTGGTGCCCCCACAGTTAAGCTCTTTGGAAATTAAGTGGCTGCCTTGTTCTTTGGCGCATCTGGGAGTCTCTCCTCCTCCTACAGGAAATCCTCTCACTAGTCTCCAGTGGCAATGGGAGAGCTTCCCTTTGAAACTCCACTCACCTGTCCCTTCTCTGAAATCCCATATCCTGAGCCAGACAGTGCTAGATCCAGGCCCTATAGGGCCTCATGTTTATATAATCTGGGGGGGCCTTCTTTAAGGAAAAGATTACAAAATTACAAGTATAAGGCAGCTAGGGTCAAGGCCTTGAAAAGGGGCCTGTGCAAATGAGGGTTTCCAGCGGAAGCTTCATTAGCTTCTAGTAAATACACCCCTGGAGCCAGATTATACTCAAAAGAAAATTGGATATTTGCCTGGTGGTGGTGAGTGGTAGAAAGTCCTGAGTTTTCCTTTTTGGATGAGAAGTAAGCTCCAGCACCCTGCTCCTCCTTAACTACTCTGCCTTTGAGACAGATACTGGAAGACATTACCCAGGTTCTTTTGAGGAAGCCTTTTCACCCTGCATCACTCCTGGTGTGTATCACATGGTAACTCACACAGCTAGGCACAGAGTATACCTTTAACACCTGCAACAGGCAGAGACTGGTCTCATTGGTCCAAGAAAGTATCTCTTTTAACCCCTTGCAATGTCTAACTTCAGAATCACTGCAGATGGATGAGAAGGGACCTCTGGTGGTCAACCTCAAAGGTCCTATCACCACTACGCACTATCCACACTCTTCAGTGTGTTCTGGCCTGTTGACTCCAGGTTGCCGATTCCAAGAGGTGGAGGAAGGAAAATAGATCAGGGTGATTCCTGGTTTGGATATAGGGAGGTTGCAGAAGGTAGGACGGCTTCTGCTGCATGGTACATAGAGGATGTAGTGGACATTTTTCTGTATACTTGCAGGCAAAATCTAGCCATTTCCTAGCCTGACTGGGCCCAGGGAATGGAGGGATGTGGGGGAGGCAGAAAAGTGATCTCAGCCCAAAGTAATAAATGTTCTGCATTTTGAAAGCAGAGCACAGTACTGTGAAAGAGAGCATTTTGATTTTTTTTTAAATTATGACTCTTGAGAAGCTAATTAAAAAATGAGAGACCATCTCCCTAGAAAAATACCCATGTGCACATGTGCATAGACACCTCCCACACCCCCACGTTTGCCATCCACAGTGGTTCAAGAAACGAAGTTAAGAAACCAAAGTAGGAAATTTGGAAAAGGATGTGGTGTGGCAGCCAGGAATCTTGAATGAATTCTAACACTGAATCACTTTGGACAAGTCCCTGTACCTCTCTGAACTTGATTTCCTCACCTATTATAAAGAGGGATGGTTAGATGTAGAAGTACCAGATGAAAGTCAGGACACTTAGTTAAATCTGAATGATTTAACTTACACTTTCAAAAATGATTTTTTAAATATAAATATACCCCAAATATTGGCTTTGTTGTGAATTAATGGGTAGTTGTTGCACAGGACATACTTATAGTAAAAAAGTATTCATTGGTTACATGAAAATCAAATTTAACAGGATGTCCTGTATTTTTATTTGCTAAATTTAGCAACCCTAGACGGGAGGCCTTCCAGGTCTTGATTTAAGGTGTGAGATTTTTGGTGATGAAGGAACGGATCCTAATGGAGGATGGGAAGTTAGAGAATCATTAATCACTGTTTAAGCTGGAAATTCTGAAGTTCCGTGACCAATCTGAAGCAGTTTAATGACACCGTGTTGGATTCTAGATGGAAAAGTCACCACACTGTGTCCCTGCATTGCTCAAAGAAGCATTTATGATTGCTAGGTGGTGACTGCCAGATTTCTAGCTTTTCTGTCACTTTAAAACCCCTAATTGCATTTCCAGTGACCTGGCCAGATGACCTTGCCAGCCTGTGACCCTCCAGCCATTTGCTGAGCTGCTGCCTCTGTCACATCAAGCTTGTGACAGCAGATGGGGAGGCTGTGACCCCTTCCTTTTTCCTTCATTTCACTAATGTTTCTTCGGTACTAACCACGCCCGAGGCATGGTGCTGGGCACGTCCCCTTAGCCGAGGGGCTTCCACCTTCATGACCTTCATCAATGCTCAGTCCCGTAGCATGTTGTTCTTAAAATGAAATTCCTGGACCACTGTGTCCTTTACACCTGGCAGGTTGTTAAAGATGAGATTGCCGAGACTCATCAGACCTGATGTAGGAAAGGTGCCTGAAAACTCCCCAGAGCTTCTCATACTTCAGTCAGAACGCCACAGCTGCCAGTTCTTGGACTCCCTCCTCTGTCCAGGTGTGCATGAGCCCGGGGTGGGACAGATGGGTTTCTACTCCCAGGACTTTCCAGATTTAAGGCTGCCTCTCTTCTCTCTGGGCCTGAGCCACTTGCGGGAGATGTGAGGAATGGGGATCTGTTAATGCTCCAACCAGCCAACCAACTTAGGCTTAATGGTTAACTACTAGGCTTAACTACTAAGGGTTGAATGGTTTCTCTCTATCAGTTCCAGGGGTGCTGTAGGGAGGATAAGTAACCTTGGACACATCTTGTCACTTCTTTGAATCTCCAGAAGGGGCGCCATGGTACCATTTTTAAAATCCGAAATTCCCTCCTCAGCACAGTGCACTCTACCTGGCTCCTGACCAGCAACTTGCCTCCGTGAAACAGAAGACCCTTGAAGACTAGCAGGTCTTGCTCATTTTCGGATCTCCCAGGATGCCCACTTAATGGTGTGGGATTCGGGGAGCACTGCTCACCTTTTAAACATAACAGATTTGGATAGGTATGAAAGCAGTTTTGCACAGGTGACAGTAGCATGACTTGAGGACCCAAGTCTTCTATTAATTCATGGCCCGGATGTGCTGGCAACCCCTAAATATCACTAAATACTTTTCCCCAGCAGTTGAAAGAATAAAATAATGAATATCTATGTGACCTTATCTAGATTCTAGATTCAGTGTGTTAATACTTTGCTGTGGTTGCTTTGTGAGTGTGTTTTTATTTGTTTCTGCTGAATCATTTGAAAGTTGCTTTGAATTATCAAGACATTTAACCCATAAATATTTCAGCAGGCGTCTCCGAAGAATAAGGACGTTCTCCTGTAATAACTGCAATACTTTTATCACCCATAAGAATAATTAACCATTATATTGTAATGTCATTTACTATCCAGTTGTAGAAACTGATGTCGGTGCCCTACCCCTTGACCATCCTAGAGGGCACCTGTAAGCAATTTCCGTACAGCAGGCGATTTCCTGAGTGTCCTTGCCTCAGCATTCGCTGATGGATGCAGAGGTGCCCTCTGCCCTCCAAGGGCAGGCTGGGGGTTCTGCAGAGCCAACGCTCCAAGCATGTCCCTCCACCAGTGATGTAGAGAAGTTGGTGGACAAATGCCCACATTTCCTTCACCCTCATGAGCTGATCCTGAGGTGTGTTTCACAAAGCTCATCCGAGGGTCCTCAGCGACATTTGCCCACAGCACAGACCTATTTATTAACACACCCTTTATTGGTTTCCTTCCCTTCCTTATCTCACTTCCTTACTGTGCTTCCTGAGATTGGCTCTAAGTAAACTATATGCAGCCAAAGCTTTGTCGTAAGGTCTCCTTTGGAGGGATCCAGAACCAAGATATCAATCCTTCAAAATGATAATATTGAATAGCCAACTCTTAGGACCATCAAAAAGCAAACTAAAGCCTGATTAGGTGGTGCTGGCAGCACAGCCAACTGGAATTGCTCTTAGTTATGATTCTTATGGGAACAATGCCATGGGGAGGCTGTGATGATTTATGGTGCCCTGCCCAGTCTATCTTAATAATAACAACAGTAGCTGCTTATTAAGGGCTTACTGTGTGTTCCTTCACATGTTTACTCAATTTAATCCTCACAGGGACTTTGTAGGGAGGGCATTATTCTTATCCCATTGTAGTGATGAAGAACCCGAGACTCATGGAGGTTGAATAACTTTTGGAGTCACAGAGCTAGGAAGAAGTAGATCTCTGATGTACTTAGCCAATGTGTTAAAATGTGCAAATAAGCATAGTCTTTTATCCTGTTGTCATATAATTGGAACAATAGTACTTGCCAGAGAAACTTCACATTGTAACAATATCATGAGTGCATATTTGTTTAACCAATAAAATATAGTTATCCTCCGTTACTGATTCTTGCAAGTGTAACGCAAAGATTGCCCCACTAGGTGAGACTCCCAGAGGGCTAGAACTTTCCCCTGCCCCGGCTGGCTTGCTACAGCTTACGCACTGGGCCCGGGGTTACCAGTAGGAAGTGATAGTTGTGCAGCATTGTTTAGGTTGTGTGAAGTCTTCCAGTGTTTTGGCCTCTGTGAAAATCCAACCTCTCCTCAGATTTGCCCCATCACAGTCCTCAGGCTGCCAGATGGTTGAAGCCCAGCCATCTAACTTAAGCAGGACAGTGTTCAGTGAGGTGAGCTATACATTCTTGTACAACGTCAGGGTTTTTTTGGAGCACTTACATCCTTGTTAATAGTATCTGTCCCCACCCAGTAATTTAGGTGTACACAGGCACTTAGATCGTAAGAAGATGTCTTTCCTAATTACTGTCTTCCCTAAGAACCCATAAAGAGAAGCAGACTTTGAACCCAATTTAATTATTTACTTGACCCTACTGTCATAAAGCGTTCAAATTCAAGTATTATAAAGATGGTAACAGGGAAGGGATGCATGGTTCTCAGACAACGGAACAATTGGCCAAGGAAGTCAGCTTTTCAAAGCTCAGCAGGTAAGTGGTAAGACTGTTTTGTACAGAAAGTAGAGAGTCACGGAAACTATAAATATGCCAAGTGAGGGAAACTCATTTTGAAAAGCTGCTGTCCCAGCAGGGGGAAGGGAAGTGGGGAAATCAGTCTTCCTCCTTAAGAAGGTAGCGTGCGGTCTGCCAAGAAGCTTATGCTCTCAGTTTCTGTTGCACACCTGCAGTGGGCAGTGTCTGAGAAAACTCTACGGGTGACCAGAGTCTGAAATCATTGCTGTTATAATGCCACATAATGTCATAGAAATATTTTTTACCAAATTGGGAAATTACGAAAGAATCAGTATTAGCACTAATTGCTTCTTATTGAAAGATTGATGCAGGCTCGCCAACAAGAAAGAATGAGCCTGGTGGGAACAAAGCTTGTTCCTGCCGGGACAGGCCTGGGATGGGGAGAAGTAGTGCTGCCCAGCAAGGCCATGGGCATGTTCCAGCTCCTGAAGGTTAATATTCGTGTTAAGGGGACAAAACTCCAAGTTGCTAAGGTCTGTGGAGTGGCCAGAGACTGGAAGGGAGTAACAGCAGCTTGTTAAAGGAAGAGAGTATTATTGACCTAGGCGGTAGGGTGGGTAAGAGCATGGCCTTGGAGACCTGGTTCCCAATCCTGGCCCTGACATTGACTGTCTTTGGGATCTTGGGCAAATTATATAATATCTCCAAACCTTTAGAAATGACTTCATGAGGGTTGGTAGAGGCTTAACTGAGATTTAAGTAGCGTACATAGAGTGTTTGGCATGGTGTCTGTTGCACAGAAAGCATTCTATGTGTGTTTCTACTATATTCATAGTGGTTCTCTTCAAAGGAAGTAATAAATACCTGTTTTTCCTAGATGGAAGTGGAGAACATCTTAGGGAGAGGGATGGCAACAGCAAAGCACAGAAGAAAAAGAGGCCTTTATTATTTTTTATTTTTAGTCTGCCCTAGGTGAAGGGGCAGGAGTATTATGGGGGGGAGCAGCGGAGGGATGGGGGGAAGCAGAAATTAACATAGTTTAAGACGAGAGGTGATTTTGCAATTGAATCTTTTTTAAGGTACAAATCATTTGGAATCGTCTCAAAAACTCTCTATTAGCAGAGAGCAACTTTACAAAAATGACCAAAAAGAGGCTTTCAAAACAAGCTTTACGTTGTTCAGTGGGGACCGTCTGAGAATGAAACGAGTTTCCTCTGTGAAGATGACGTTCTCAGCTTCCCTGGGGAAAGCTGGTTTTACCTTCCCCAGGGCTGCCCTCTAGCTGCCCGGTAACTTACGGCCTATGTCTTTGTGATGTTGTTGCTGTTGTCTCAAAAATGGTTTAATACTGCAAGTACTTTGGACTCAGTAGTCCGAACAGGACTGTTTAAAAACTAGAAATAGTACCATTGTAACTGGGATGACTCACCTGGGACTTCATTTTAAGTGCTTAATAGACAAGACGAAGGCTCATAAACTCAGTACAGCCAAAGGACGGGAGCAACAGCACTCTCACCCCTCAGCAGATCCGACTTAAGTTCGGTCAGGATGGCACGGCAGAGCAGTGGCCGGAAGGGAGTGTGCAGATTTCTCCTCTTAGTGCTTGTGTTTCTGCCACGTGAAGTGACAAGTAAGTTCATATTCTTTTTTTGCCTCTTTAAGTAAAGAAAAATTTCAGATTAAAAGTCATCTGTGGGTGTTGGAAAAATGCAAAATCCAAGTTGGAACGACTACATGGTTGGTGTGGTTCAGAGTACAGGAGTCAGATAACACCATAAAAAATTAAATGGAAAATATTTGGATGGTTCTGATATTATAAGCAGGGCAAAGTATTCTGTCCTCTCCAGAGCCACAGCCAGAATTTTCCTACATTTTAATGGATTTTATTACTAATAATATTCAAAATAACCTTCTGCTGTTTACTTGAACATACCACTTACAGGAAAATCTTTCCTGCGTTTGCTCCCCACCCCAGTCTGGAAGTAGTTTTCCCCTTCATTTTAAAAACAATACATAGTCATTGTAAAATAAGTTAGGAAATATATAAATGAATAAAGAAAAGTGAAAATTCCTCCAAATCCCATCATCCAAACACAGTGATTCAATGTTAGGTGTATATTCTCCCAGATCAAAAAAAAAAAAAAACACTAGGCAGCAATCTCATTGTTTTTTTTTTTTTCAGTAATTTGAGCTTTTAAAGGAAAAGTTAATGTGTTAACAAAATATATTAACAAATATTATGGAAGGGGCGAGTTTCTGGTTTTGCCAGTCATGTTTTACTTTTTGTTACTTGCTTCTGAACCAGGAAAGTTAAAATTGCAATTTGGATTTGTTGCTATACAATAAATGAATTTTTTAAAATGAGAGATGAAAATAAAGTGCTATATATCATGATCATTCCTGCCACAACTTTTCTATCCCACAAACCACAGCTGTTTAAGTATCTTTTTACTTCACTACATTACCAAAACAATATTAAAACATCAGAAATGGAAGACCAAGTTCTACCATCTAATCAGAAATATTTTCAAATCAGCTTTTGCCCATATGCAATTTTTATATATTTAGCATAGTTATTAGAGATGTAATTTACATTCTGCCTATTCATCTGATGTTATATCTTAAATATTGTTCCATTTTACTATAATCCTTTTTCCTTTGTATTTTCCCACTCCCATCCCCTTACTTTGCTACATCCAACCCCTTGAAGTAAATGAATTAAGTCTGGTAAGTATCTCTCCATTTTTTTCTCTATTTCTATCAATCCTATTTCATACATATAGATAGAATTTTTCCCTTTTCCACATAAATGTGTGTGTGAGTATAAATGGAGTAAGTCTGAACATATTATTTTCTAACCCAGTGGTTCTCAAACTTCACTGCATGTGAGAACCATCTGGAGCTTTTAAAAAACCCGGCGCCCAGATGGCACTCCTATCAGTTGGTACAATGTCTGGGGGTGGCAGCAAGGCCTCAGTCATTTTTTAAAGATCTCCAGGGGATTCCAATTTGCAGCCAAGTGTGGTAACCATCATTTTAAGCTTTCTTTTTTTTTTTTGTCAATAACACATTATGGATCTTTTTCCTTGTAAAATCATATAGACTGATACGACTATTTCAATTTATTGAGAAGTATTTCATTGTACTGATGTAACACTTATAGCCATTTAGATGTTCACTCTATCTTAAATAGTTTCTTTCTGCACTCCCAGGTTCCGTTTTAACTGTGAACGGTAGAACCGAGAACTTTGTTCTGAACACTAAGTTGGGCGCAGAAGAGTCTCTGAGATGTGATGTTCAAAACCGCACTGGAGACGAAGGGCTTCTCTGGTACCGAGAACAGGGGTCAGTGGATCTGAAGGACGAAAACAAAATCAATTCCAGCGCTGTCTGTGTGTCTTCCATCAGTGAAAATGACAATGGAGTCACCTTTACCTGCAAACTGCAGAGGGATCAGTCTGTGTCAGTCTCAGTGGTGCTGAATGTCACTTGTGAGTAAGGGGAAAGAAATTGCTGGTCACTCTGTTATCTGCACTACATTAAGTGGTAGTTGAATCTCGGTCTAAAGAGTATGTGCAGCCCTGGCGGGTGTGGCTCAGTTGGTTGGAGTGTTGGTTCCTGCACTAAAAAGGTTGCAGGTTGGATCCCTGGCGGTGTGCATGGGAGGCAACCAATTGATGTTTACCCCTCCCGCTCTCTCAGTCTCAGCAATGCAAAAATGTCCTTGGATGAAGATAAAAAAATTAAAGAGTATGTGCATTTTAACATTTGCTTTATATTGCCAAATTTTGCTATTTATATATTTCTTTTCTAAAAGAAGTTTATTTCAGATTTCAGAGATTTTTTTAAAAAAAGATTTTATTTTTTAGACAGAGGGGAAGGGTGGGAGAAAGAGAGGGAGAGAAACATCAATGGTTGCCTCTCACATGTCCCCTGCTAGGGACCTGGCCTGCAACCCAGGCATGTGTTCTGACTGGGAATCAAACCAGCCACCCTTTGGTTCGCAGGCTGGTGCTCAATCCACTGAGCCACACCAGCCAGGGAAAATTGTGATATTTATGCTCCCACAACAAAGTGTCAGAGTGCCTATTTCCCCACACCATCATGAGCACTGAGTTTGAAATTTGCCAGTCCAATACGATATTTTATTTTAATTTCCTAAATTAAAAATGAGGGTGCTCACCTTTTCATAAATGTATTGGCTGTTTATATTTAAAACCTCAAAACATGAAGCTCTTTGATGGCTGGGTGGCAGGAACTGATAACCCACTGGTGGAATTCTCTGGCATCAGGAATCCCACAAGTGATTCTATGTCGGTGATCATGGTTGGTTTGGATGGAAAGCTGGTTCTATGTGAGGGTGGTGTGGAAGGTGGGATGAGGGGTGATGTGGGTTAGGGTGGTGATGTGGTATGATTTGGTAGAAAGGGTTCTGGACTCAGGTTCAGCAGGCTTCTCTGTGAAAAGTCGCTGCCATTGCTCCTGAGATAAAAGGGAGGAGAAAATGCTGAGGAATCAGCTCTGGGAAGTGCCGGCAGCCTGCAGCTTGAGTTTCCAGAGTGAATCATCTGCTCATTGCTGGGAATAGGAGTTTCGTTTTTTTATTTTCTATGAATTAACAAAACGTGGTTTTTTTAAAAAGCGAGCTTCCTCATGTGTACTTGGATAGAATCTAAAACTGCTAGGTGCCCTTGGAGGTCTTGTAATCCCTACAACGTGACGATGCGGAAACGGGCTCGGACTGAGGGCCTGAACTATCACGGCCAGCCTGGGAACAGGACACAGGCGCCCGGTTCCTCATCTCGTGCCCTGCCCATTATATCTTCTGAAGGGGGACATGGCAGAAAAGCCAATGTGGTCAATGGCTTTAGAAATGATTTTCAGTTTCCAGCCTGAATCCACATTCAAAATCATCTTTATAACCACCTCGTAAATATTGTTGCTAAGCACATATGGAAAACACAACTGGTCAGTGATTCATAGTGACAAACCTATAGAAACTCATCAATCAACAAATCAAAATGAGGTACTAAAAAGGGGCAAGAATAGCATGCGCAGTCCTGAGCAAGTGTTGTTATTATTATAAATAATACTAATAAATGCTAACATGCTATTTTGGGGAATGTGTGCAGAGACAGATTCTTTCATACATTGTTGCTGAAAGTACACACTAAGACCACCTCTTTGGCAATATCTGTCAAAATTTAAAATGTGCCTGCTCTACGAGACCCAGCATTTCTACTTGTGGTGGAGAAACGTGTGCATGTGCACAGAGGCATATGTTAGCATATTTACTGAAGCATTGTTTAGCATCTAAAAAATGAAAACAACCTAATTTCCATCAACATAAAATGATTAAAGAGTCATCTATTATACTATAGCACTCTAAAAGCAATGAGCTAGAACTGTGATTCAATGTGGATATATCTCAAAAACATTCAAGTCGTTGAGAGAATGAAGTCTATAGTAAACTCTTCTTACCCTCCTAAAACAATACATTTCCTATGGACATATTTTATGTATAAAAACTATGTTTTGAAAAGAGATGCAAGGAGCCCTGGCTGGTGTGGCTCAGTGGATTAAGTATCAGCTTTTGAACCAAAGAGTTGCCAGTTTGATTCCCAGTCAGGGCACATGCTGGGGTTGTGGGCCAGGTCCCCGGTAGGGGGAGCACAAGAGGCAACCACACATTGATGTTTCTCTTTCTCTCTTTCTCCTCTCTTCACCTCTCTCTAAAAATAAATAAGTAAATCTTTTTTTAAAAGATGCAAGGATTTACATCAAACATAATGGTGACTATCTCTAAGGAGTCAGGAAATGATGAAGATAGCATCAAGGAAGATTTGAACTTTATCTGAAATGTATAATTTTTTAAAAAAGGGAATGCTTGCATATAGCTGATAAGCTTAAAATTAATTTTAAATTGTTAAATTAAAAGAAACAACTAATAGGGCTGGTAGAATTGCTGGAATTTGTATCTTTGGCAATTAATTTCTATATTCTAGCAGCTTCCTGCATATCCGAATACCATATAACATTCTTGTTGGATATAGATATGGAATTTAAGCTCATTCCAAAGAACAACAAAATGTCAGTCTCCTGAGTGTTATTAATAGCAGAGCCTACTCAGGGTCTAATTATTCAGCGTGCAGATTATACAAGCTCCTTTCCCCCTCCTTCTCCACCTTTGCCTCTTCCCTACAGCCCACTTTTCAAGCATCTTATTACTGTTTTGCACCTTGGCCAGAAAAATGCAAAGCGCGTGCAGAAGAGGGGAGAGTCAGCTCAGCCGTTTCTCCTCTAGATGTGGGAAAGGCCTGGCGGGAATGAGGGTTGGAATAATGGGGTGAAGATGAATGTGTCCTGCTACCTGGGGGGCTACAACCTTTCTTATCACGGAGGAAGTAAGGAGTCGCTCACACAGGGGGATGACAGGGACTCAGAGAGCCACGCTCACCTTCCACAGATGCCAGAGTTGCCGTGACTAGAACACTATCTAGAGGAGGACATTATTTATAGAGGATTACTGAGGAAATGCAAATATGCATTGGTAAATATGTGGCTGGGGCAAATGCAGTTAAACAAAATGTGAAAATAGAGGGTGTGAAGAGCATGTAAAACTGCCACCACCAGCACAATAATCCTGCTACCCAGCACTGTGGGGAGTTCTCTACAGGCATTCTCTCATTTAATCGGCACAGCAATCCATGAGGCAGCTGTTCTCCCATCTTTTTAGACGAGGACACTGAACAGTTACTTAGCAGTTAAGTGACTTCTCAAGATCACGGTAAGTGATGTAGATGGCATAAGGGCTAACTTCAAGGCCTGCTCTCTTAATATTATACTGTTGTATCCAACACTAGCAGGTTGGTTTATTATATTAATTCTCATCAAGGAGAGACTCGAGGCTTATACTCTTGGGTAGTATTACACATATAGACAGATTCATTATTATGTATATTTGTTTCATGGTTTGTCTTCTCTGCCACATTAAAAGTGCTGCTAGGTTTGGAAGTGGATGTGTGTTATTTACGATGGCAGCCCTGATTCCTGGCCCAGTGCTTGGCATACAGTAAGGCACTCAATAAATTTTTGTCAAATGAATGAATGACTACATGAGATAGACTGAAAGCAGATCTTGAACTCAGACAGCAAACTATTGCTTATTCGCTGATTGAATCTAAATGCTTGAATCTTGCAGTTCCTCCTCTCCTAAGTGGAAAAAACGTCCAGACAGTTGAGGAAGGCAGTAGTGTGAACATAGTTTGCAATGTGAAATCCAACCCCCAGGCTCAAATGATGTGGTACAAAAATGGTAGCATCCTGAACTTAGAGAAAGACCATCACCAAGTCCAACAGACGAGTGAGTCCCTTCAACTGTCAATCTCTAAAGTCAAGAAGTCTGACAATGGAACTTACAGCTGTGTTGCGCATTCATCTCTGCAAAGAAATACCAAAGACTTTCACCTCCTTGTCAAAGGTAACTCTCTTCTAAAATAATATCTGGCACAGAGTGAAACTCAGAATAGATGCTCAGTAAATATTTTTCATGACAAAAAATGATGATGATAATTATGATTAGTAGGCAGGATTTTCTATGGAGAATCATCCCACTCAAGTAGTTTGCCACTAAGGATTCTAGTCGTTCCTTTTAGGGCAAATGCCTATTCCATACAGGACACTGCTTTTTGAGCAAAGGTCCTTTTCTAGAACTACATGGGAGAAGATGATGCTGGTAAGCTTTTAGGGATGAGTATTTCCATGAATTCTCCTGGGCAACAAGGTTGGTAAGAACTGGACTTTGGAGTTCATAGCCTAATAACAAACAGAAGAGAAGTCAGAAACACATGGAGAATAGATAAGAACATGGATCTCTAAAATCACTCCTAACTCTGAAATTGTAACACATGGGCCAATCAGAAGAGGGAGTAGGGGCAAATGGCGGGGGAAGGGAGCAGAGTTCTTTCTCGGCTTCATGTTTCATCCACCCAGGTTTATCACCTCTGCAATAATAGAGTGATTTTCCCTCCTTGTAGTTCTTGTTCATGCAAAGAGAGGAAGGGGAGATACCTGTTGTAGCAGATGCAGAAAATGCTCACACACACATTTCCTGGTCCTGGGGCCAGGATGCTAGGAGCAACCAAACAAGCTGCAGCTCTGTATCTTGTTAGAACATTATTCACTTTGTCATTTGCCCACTTATTGCCTTCCTTGCCAGTTCCCAAGAAGCCAACTGGACCCCAGCGAGAAGTGTTGGGCTGGTGTGACCACAGGGCTTCTTATTCCTCCCACTCGGGGGAGGTCTGGGACACCAACAGAGTGGCTGCTGGGGAGGAAGAGCTGCTGTTGCCCGACGCTGTGATTACTGGCATGTTCAGTAATTGGCCCTGCAGAACGGTATCAGTATGCCCAGGGCCTACTTGCTTTAAAAACCAAACCCACAAATAAGCTAAGAGGGATAGAGTCAGTGGAAAGGGCACCATTCTGAGGCCTGTGGCTATTTGCTTCCCCCAGAGCCACGAAAGCATGGCTGGTGGGGCCTCAGGCCATGCCCTTCCAACTGGCTGTAAAGTCCACCCAGCAGAGACTGGGAGATTGTTATCATCCCTCTGGGTTAAGAAGGAATCAAAATTGCTCCATATCACATAAGAAATACACAGCTTGTATGATAAGCAGGATGCCAGCTTAACAAATTGGTTTTCAGGTGGGCAGAATCCTGTTCGGGGTGGAGCTCTTCCAAACCAACCTGTTTTTTCTTATTTCTTCCTGCTTTATTACCTCCCTGGTTGTTGGCTGCCTCCGCAGCATAAGCACTCTGCTGCTGGTGATCAGCCTGAATGCCAAGTTTGCCAGGAGCCTCTCTCGGTTGCACAGCTCAGTGGGGTAGTTTCTAAATGAGGCCGTGCAAGCTGAAAATGACATCACAGATCTTTTTTCTTAAGCACAAGATTTTAGCTCATGTGTTGGGATCATCTTACCACGTTAATTTGGGAGGAAATACCAGGTCTGGTTACAAATAAGAGTAAAACAGGACAAGGGGAGAGATGCAGTTACACTTGCCAAAGTCACTTTTCACAGAAACTTGGAATCCAAAGTGAGCCAACGGGTCAGACAGTTTATTTCGGCTTGTTTGCAGAGCGAACGCTGTCACACGTGGCTTCATTTTATTCAGCGTGGTAAAAAATATTCCAACTCGTGACTGAATTCTGATTCCTTTTCCTAATTGTCCCACTGTTGCTTCCTCTTCATTTTGACATCTCTGCTTGGCACTGCAAGTATAGGGGGACCCCAGTAAGGTGCAGGCCCTTGGGTGCGCCCCAGGGCTGGCAATTACAAAGCCAGAGCTTCTAAGAAGGCCCATTTAGTGGCTTCCCCAGAGGGTTGATGCACCCCACACCCTTGTGAGAACAATTTTTAACAACAACTAAAGAGTAAGAGTAAAGGATGCTTAATCCATTTACTTCCCAAAATTATCCTGAGCAGGAACTAGACAACAATGGGGAAGAAAACAGTTAAAAGGTAATTGGTTAGTGTGCCATACAACTATGGGCGGATAAAACCTATTTCATAATCTTCAGGCACTTGGGGCTTGGGCTTTAAACTTAGATTTATTTAAAGACTCTCCCTTCCCTTTTACTCCACCTTTTACTCCTCCTATACTGTCTCATGACCCTGTGTTCTGTATAATACTCATCTCAGTTTGTAGTTTTTCTTTGTTTACTCTCTGTCTTCCCAACAAGAATATGAGCTCCCAAAAGGCAGAAGCCTTCCATGTCTGCCCTATTTTTGCAAGGCCGAGGCCAGCACCTACCACACAGTACTCACTCAGTAAATATTTGTTGACCACATCTCTCCACCAATTCAATTGCACAATATACAGTACACTGTAAATTCCTAAAATTGTATCTTAACTGTGATTGGACCTCCTTCCCCTCCTAGACTGGCATCAGATTCTAGACGCGTAGGCAGGGTCATTTAAAATAACTTTGTTGCCCTGGCTGGTATAGTTCACTGGATTGAGCACTGGCCTGTGAACCAAAGGGTCGCTGTTTAGATTCCCAGTCAGGGCACATACCTGGGTTGTGGGCTGGGTCCCCGGTGGGGGACATGTGAGAAACAACCACACATTGATGTTTCTCTTCCTCTCTTTCTACCTCCCTTCCCTTCTCTAAAAATAAATAAAATCTTTAAAATAAAATAAAATAAAATAACTTTGTTGACCTTAATCACTCTTGCTTTTGAAAGTTCCATCCCAGATCATATCAAACATAGTAAAATGAAGTATACAGTGTTACATGTACTTTTCTGCTGCACGAATTTTGAAAGGATTTTTATAACTTGCATATGTTTTTAATTTTATCATAAATAAATTATTCATGTGGTTCTTAAGGTTTAAATATTACCATTATTTAAGGGTTGGGTTATAGTGGACACAAAATAACATTTTATAGATGTTTAAACATTTATTAATTTTGAATAATTTTGCCATTTTTCAATATTTTGGTGCCAATACACCTTTTTCATTTTTAGTTTTCAAATGTTCCCATAGGCCCCTGGGAAGCTCACAGGCAGAGGACCTGTGCCCGTGGTGGCTGACGAACAAAATGGCTCTGAGCCTGCCTGGTGTTCAGAGTGCCAGGGCCTGAGCCGTCCCTGCCAGGCTGTCCTGGCTGCTGCCGACCTCTTCCTGGTCCAAGTTAGAAGTGGCCTCTCTGTTCCTCCACGTCACTCAAGGATATATGGAAATCTCTGCCCAGCTTGGGAAGGCGGGTGCTTAGAGTCCTACTTCCCCAGAGGCACCTGCTACAGTGTCTTGTCACCTGCTTGGGGTGCCCTCACTGTACAAGGGTCCCCGCTGTTCCTGAGGCCCACAGACCTCTCTCCCCTTCGTCCAGTGGGCTCTTCACCTTTTCTCTTCTTGCTCTTAAAGTTTTCCTCCCTCTTCCTCACTGGGGTACCCTCTAATATCTTTTGGACTTTTCAAAAGGCCAGAGAACCACTGACTTCAGCCTACTTCTGCTTTCTGCATGGCAAAGAAAATATGGATGAAGAAAGCATCAGCTGGTCCGACTACCTGCTTTGGGGCAGTTATTCATTCATACTACCACAATTTACCCTTCCACAGAGAAATAGATTCATAACCTGTCTCTGCCAGTGACTAGTTCTATAACTTTGGACACATAAACTAATCTCTCAAAGCCCCTGGTTCCTTGCCTGTAAAGTGGGGATAAAAATACCTGCCTTTTGGGATTGTTGGGGGGATTTAATCAAGAGGATGATAAACATCAAGCACAAGGCACCATGGCTGGGACATATGAGAAGTGCATAAATTAGAAGCATATAAATGTAAGTTCTCATTCTGTGTGTTTACATTTCCAACAGACAGAACTGCAACTGTACCAATAGAACCCATTATTGCTGCAAGTGTGGTGGTCTTTCTAACCTTGTGCTTTGGAGTGATTGCTAGAAGAGAAAGAATAATGAAGGTATCTAAGTATTCTAAGCTATTTTGGTAAAAAGTCATCTAAATAAAAGCCAAGAAGTAGCTGTAGAAGTGACTAGAGTTAGGAGCCAAACCTGGACAACCTAGTCTCTCTGCCACATGATCTAAAATGGAAGTGGCTTAAGGGAATAAAACTTGTTTGTGTATTATCAGTAAAGATTTACAAAGAATAGACGTGCATGTGGACAAGACTAGAATGAAATGTGCTGTGGTGATCGGGGTAGGGGATTTGGGCCTGATTTGTCTTCCTTTTAAATTTCCCGTCATTGTTGCTATGGCAGCTTTGGTACAATAGATAAAGACGGGGAGGAGTATCTGCTCTAGACTTAGGGATCTGCGTGAAAAGGATGGCACTTGCTGCTCACCTTTACAGCTGCCCTGGCTGCGGTGGGCTGCAGTATGAATGGTTGCAACAGTTAACCTTGCTGGTTAGCATGATGTAGAGTACGCATGTGCATAGGTTAATGCCAGGCATCTGACTCCACCAGTTAATCCAATGCCAAAGGGAGGCCAATATGGCAGAAGGCCTCTATTTAAGAATCCTAGAAGCATTTTCAATTAAGAATTATTAATATATCTTCTCTAGATTTAATAAAAATAATTAATGTGGCCAAAGGGCTAAGACCTGGACCAATGCAGAGGTGGCTGTATATTCTAGCTGCCTCTGCGCTGGTGTGTATTTTTCTAGGTAGGAGATTATCAGACTTCTGCATTTCCTGCCCCTTGAGCCACTTTGATGCATTCAAATGTGATCCATTATCCTTAAAAAAGCCAGAAAACTCATTGCCCTTGTTTCGTTTGCCTCTAGTTCTGCATAAAGGGTGATGGTCCTCAAAGAGACACAGCTCTGTAAGCACCCTGGGCTGGGCAGATGATCTTCCGTGAGCAGCCAGGTAGCACCGTCCATCCCATCCCGAGCAAACTCCACAGGAAATGGGAGGTGCTGGGAGGTGAAGGGGTTCAGAGGAGAAGGGAGGGTGGAGGAGGATCTGTCTCTACTTGCAGGAAGACAGGTTGGAAGGATGCCTAGAACTGAGAATATCTTTGGTCTAAAGCCTTCTGCCTCTTTAAACAGTTTTTGGCTAATGCTTGTTATTGCCCCTGCATTTTATTGCCCCACAGTGTAAATGACTGAGAGGCCCTACCCTGAGGGGAAGCCACCTGCCCTGTCACAACAAAGTCAGAGGCCACACTCCTCACCCTGGGTCTGATGGCTCCAGCATACACAAAGTGGGCAGTGGGAAAAAAAAATCTAAAGGCATTCTTTCCAAGAGTATGAGTTTAATTTTTTCTTATTGTTATGATCATCATTACAATTAATTTCTTGCTTCATTTCAGGTGAGAAAGCTGAGGTGTCATCTAATACAGCAAGAATTGCGCATCAGAACCTCCCTGATTCATGTAGTCCCCTCTGTATTTATTTCTACTATTAAATTTGCTCCTGTCAAATTGTCAGAGGTTATTGTCAGAAGAAGTGGTTCATTAAGCACTTAACAGTTGTTGTTATGACTAATTTGATATGCTTGTGTAACATTTTTGTAGAGAAAGCTGTTAAGTATGAAAAGTAAGATTTTTGTTAAGTCTTCTCCTTGAAGGGTATGTTAATTGAAATTTGTTCCAAAAAGGTAGATAACTATTTACCATTTAGAATATATTCCTCTAGGTAGGAGGTGAGCAGATACTTGGGTTTCACAAATCAGTGCAACACCGCACACAAAAAATGGGGGGCAACATAGAGTGATCAGTTTTTTAAGTTGCCCAGGAAGCCCATACAAAACATCAGTTATCATCTACTGTCATTTTAGAAAAGGAATGTTTTAGGGCTAAAAAAGGAAGGATGTCATCTCAGAATATGAAATACTCCTTTAAATGGAAGAAATTTCATATTGTAAAAAACTCAGCATATGTCCTTATTTTTCTCTCTCTGCATGACTGACACAGTCACAAACTTGGGAACTTTTTATAGTGAGGAGGATGAGACCCACAGGGCACGGGCTGGCTGGCGAGTTTGTTTATAAGCACCCTTTGCTTATTCTTGCCCAGTCCTCTGCGTAGATCTAGCTACTGTGTATCAGTTATGAGTCAGGCTGTGCTCTTCTCACATACCTCAGTGTTAAAGTGCAGCTCTTCCTCTGCTTTCATTCCGTCTTAGTTTTTTCCCACTAAGAGTCTCTGCTTGCTTTCCCACACAACCCGGGTGGGCTGGGGGGAGAAGCAGCCCTGGCCAGAGCCACCTTTCATGTCTCTGCCCTGCTTCCCTCCTCCCACTTCACATCTTAGAAAAAAACTATTTTGTCTGATATTACAGTAGCTAAATGTGTCCAAGAGAGAGAAGAGGGATGAAGAATCTGCTGCCAGCCAGGTGTTAAAAGCCCCTTATTGACATAGAAGCAAAAAGAAGAAATGAGCAGAATATATAGAATCTCAACAGACTTGTTTCTAAGAGGAACAGGCATATCCTCCTGTTAAGCTTCTCTTTGAAACTTCAGCATGGAATGGGGGTGGGGGAGGTAGGGGGATGGGGGGGTGGGAAGAGAGAAATTAGTGGTTTACAGACTTCTGTCTTCCTGGAGGCCCTGACAGGTTTTCGTAGGAAAGCCTTCAGATCTTGCCTCTCATTCAGAATTTCTCAAAGTGGAATTCGGAAGCCCTGTTACAATGCTCTAAGGATAAGGTGGGAGGATTGTGAAAACCTGAATGTTTAGACAATTAGAGACTATAAAGAAAAAAACCCAGATCTCAGACGATGGTGCCTTGGGAGAGTTGAAAGTGGAAGAGGAAACAGAAAACCTCCATATCTAACTGGGCACGGGATCAGAGCCGAGTTCCAGTCTCGGTTGTGTCACTTTGAACAAATCCTCGTCCTTCTCCTGGGCCTTTGGAAAATGAGTAGATAGGATCAGGATTAATTTTCATGTTAGTTTGAAAATTCTCAAAAGATTCTCACGTAATTGAGTTAAATGCTGGAAGCAGTTGGCAAGAAAGATTGAGGACACGCATAATACCTTTGCCCTACCTAATAGAATAATGAATCAACTTTGCTCTAGAACACGTAATAGTTCTGGGGAATGACAGGTCATTGGTAAAAAGTTCCTTCACGCTTTTGAAACACAGTGACCTTGAACACCAGCACAGACAAGGAATAGTAACTAGTTTGGACAGAGTGCAGCAATATCATAAATGGTCCTGGCATTTCATTGTGCCTTACAGTTTTGAAAAAACTGAGCCTGTACGAAAAACTATATTTATTATTTAAATTTAGAAGTTAGGCTAAAGCCTGACTTGCAAGGACATGAAATTCAAATGAAGCTGCTGTAACCTTTTCCCAAATGCCTTTTCTAACTACTATGTGATGTCTGAAACACTGACCACGCATTCTCCTGGTTTGACCCTTAGGATGACAAATATCAGTGGACAAAAGACAGATGAAGCCATTTGCTCCCTTCCCAAATTTTCTACCAATAAAAACATAATTCATACTATTTTCTTCCTCTGGGGCCCAATTTTTTGAAAGAACAGGTCTATCAAGCAAACTTTATTTAATAAATAATAGTAATCTATTTCCCCAATTAATATTTAGCAATGATATTTACTTGCCAATCTGAACTTCTTTCATGACAACACAATTACCTTGCTTGTGTAAATCCACCTAAAAGCAAGGAGATCTGGTACTTTAGTTAACCTGTGTAGGCTTTTAGAGGTTAAGGGTAGAATCATAACTTTAGGCTTTTTGACTCATTGCAAACAGTTTACAATCTCTCTTCCTCCCCAGTTTTTACCCTTGTCATCACCATCATCATGATTACTTTCCTGAACTGATCAGCTAGGGGTCAAACCCTCACCGGGGTTACAGGGGTCAGGCAGATGAGTGGACCAGGCTAGACATAAAACAATAGGGAACTCGAGCAAATAGAACATCTATGCTAACAGATCTGATTCTTTAAAGAAGTCCAAATTCTGGATTTGTATGTGTAATTCTTCTAATTAAAAAAGTTTTAAGTCCCATACATCTAGGAGTAGATGAATCCTCTCACCCCAATACATGCTGCTCTCTGTTCGGTAAGTTACAACCCAGTGCTGACTTGGGCTTTCATTGTCTCGTGGAGCTTTTGTGACACAGCTCTAGCAGTTTTTGCCTCTAGCCTCCTCCCCACCCAAGCTCAGGCATGATCACAGGGACAGTCAGTTAGAAGACAGTCAGAAGACAGTCAATTATCCTGTGCTGAGGACTTTATCTGTGATCTGATCCTGTCAACAACCCTGTGAAATAGTCACGATTGCCCCAAGTCTGCCCACGAGAACACCCAGGCTCAGAACGCTGAAGTGACTCACAGCGGGTGACATCCCAGGCTCATCCACCGCCTGGGGACTGGGATAAAGGCAGCGATGTCACAGAAAGGGCGAAGGCCAAATAGTAAAGACAAACTTCAACTCTTGCAATTTGCAAAGAAGGATGTCAGTATCAATCCCACTTCTAGTGACCTGCAGAATATTTATTTTATTAACAGTAAAGGGAATTTAAAATAATCTTAGTTGAAGTGTTTTGAAAATGTTACGACACTCTTAGAGATAATTTGAGGTATCCCGAAGTGTTGCAGGATCGGAGCTGAGAATTGCTGCCCTAAATATTTTCTTGCCCTTCTGACGACAACAAAGAAGGGTTTGTGTAGACAATTTCTTACTGTTGCAACAGCCCTAAAAGGTAGGTGTTGGAATCCTCATTTCATAGATGACGAAATTGAGGATTAGAGAAGCAAAATATCTTGCTCCAACTCACAGTTAGCGTGAGGTACAATTGGGATTCAAACCCAGGGCACTCTTACCCCCTAGCCTGTGCTCCTTCCACTGCTCTGCACTGTCCTGGGGTGAGGGGGTGGGGATAAAACTACTGGAATGTGATTGAAGGCACTTTACTGCTTTAGAGGTCTGGGGGTTGTGGCAGAAATATTTATCACTCACTGGATATCCTTGTTCTTTTCACATTTCTCTGGCTCCAAAAATCTATGTGACTAGTTCTGGTCAAGGGGCCATGGACAGAGATAATGGTGTCACTTCTGGGCAAAGCAAAACCAAATGGGTGCATGTTCTTCAGGTGCTCTCCTTGCCCAGCACGGCAACTACGGAGAGACACTGGAGTGAAACGGAGCTACCTGCTCACATGGAAGGGAAAAACACACCCCTAGTGTGAAGCCACTAGATTTTAGGATTAATCTATTACTGCAGCATAACAGCCGATCCTGACTAATGTATGTATTTTCATTATAATAAGAATTCAAGAGAAAATTGTATCTAGTTTAATGAAAGAATGCTCAATTTCAGGAGCAAGTTTGTGATAATCCCCATCCCTCCCATCAGGGACCCTGAGTTATATAAAATGCTGAATACCCTGCAATAAAATTATGTTTTTCCCTTCAAATAGATGTATCTATTGACAACATATGACTCGTAGGGCCACAGTAGTGCAAGCCAGAAAAAGTTAATTTGTCTTATTTTATTAAAAAATCATACTTAATGTCATGCCAGTGACTACAGAAAACAAAATCTATACATTAATCGCAAATTCCTTAACATTCAGGTTATCTTTCCTCAAGAGCCTGTCTCTGCAATGTCCAAGTTGTTATGTAGCAAACAACTTACATCATGGGTAGCTTTCATTTACGTGATAATGGAAAACCTGAGGATCCCACTGAGAATTCTGAAAAACCCAAGTTCTCGGAGAACTGTGTATATGAAGAAAATAACTGTAGACCTGGTGTTCCTGCCAGTGGATTCCTACAGAACAGCGTTGCTGTGGAAACTCATGAATTATTTGTCTTTATTTCTTCGAATGCTCTAGATAGCAACAACAGTGTCAGCCTCTGTTTAAATTATAGCTATGAATGGCAATCTCTTACATTTTCATGTTACCTGACAGTCTATAGAACATTTTCACACATATCTTGTTGGGTCCTCACAGGTGCTCTGTGAGATAGGCAGCGCTGTCGTTATTTAGGATTTGCAACTGGAGATACCAAAGTCCAAGATCACACAGCTAAGATCACACTGGGTGAAGGGTCACTCCTCTCATCACCCTGCCTCCTGGCTCTAGGTAAGTTCTACAACTGCTTTCAGTTTTGCACAGGATGATCATTCAGCACTTTTGCCTTTCGGGCGATCTCTGTATGCCAGGAAGAGTGGAGACCAGAGGAGAGAAATCAAACGGAGCACACACAATTTTGGGGAATTGTCAAAATGTAGTTCTGAGTTACCTGAAGTATAGTGACATCACGTAACAATAGTTCTGCTCCTATAAGCACTTACATTGTACTGTCCTAAGCACTTGAACTGTATTGTGACTCAATCCTTGTAACAATCACACAACAAGGGCTCTATTTTATTGTACCCATTTTCCAGGGGAGGAAAGCTGAAGCACAGGTACTCTGTCATGTGTCCTGAGTCACACGGCTTGTTAGGGG